GATTATATAAGAGTAACTTTGAGATTTCGAATTGCACACATCTCATAAAGGATGCGAGAATGACATCTCGATGAAAAATAATTTCCTATCAGGATAAGAACTGTACCTTTACCTTTATTCATCATTGATCAGACGAAATGATACGGCCCCTCCGGGATTTCCACGGCGGTCACCGAAGAGCACTGATTCGATGACGCGTGCCGTCGGATCTCGACAGCTGCGAGCGTCATACTCGGAGCCGGTGTCCCCGGCGGCGGTAAACTTTCCCCCAGTGGAGCACAATAATTTCGTGGCGAGTGGAGAAGGCGATATCGAAAAAGGTACCCGTCGAATCAATTCGGTAGCCCAGGAAAGACGGCAACGGGTCTCAGCTACGTCCCGCATGTACAGGGACGCCGATATTCAACATCGATCAGATAAACAACGAGGAGGTAGATCAGATGTAAATTTAAGTAGTAATACTGAGAGTTGAAACCCATAAGCTGGCTCTTAGTACCACTGTGAGCCTGAACTGTGATACTTATTAACACAAATTATGTCCCCGCAACATTCCCCACTAGTATTAAGTAATTAGTAAGTTTGCATTATGTGGCCAGTTCTTTATACTAAACAGGGCTCGAGCTTATTATCGTGAAATTTCGTTCCAGATCAGGACGGCTGCCAGATCCAGTGAGTGAAAGTTAACGTAGCAAATCGGCTGCGAAGAACAAAAGACATCGAATCTTCATCTGATTGGGATTAATTGCAATTAGCTACCTTATTTGTCATTGTTACTCATCTGTAAGTTCACAAAAGGTTAACAAATCACAGCAGTCTACTGTTGCTGGCTGGCACAAGCTGACTTCCAATGTATATATACATATATATATATATATATCTAAAATTTTCGACAGAAGGACCGCGTTCGACTAGAGATTCTGCAGCATGACAACCAACGTGTTTATCCATCAGATACAAAGATCTGCATTTTCACTTTTCAAATAGATATTATAATAATCTGCAGCAGTTATAGGTGATATTGATCTATAATCAATACAGCGGAAACAAATAGCGCCAATACTACAGGTTGTATCTTTGGTGGCCATGCGTCCTACCGCACTAAAACCCTATGCATAAGGTAAAAAATCATATGCGTTCATTTAACTACGATGTCAACAATCGCTATTAAATTTAATTATTCAACCAGTGGATTTATTGCGTAGCAGCTAGACAATCAATCAGGCTCTAGAGCGTCCACCAACAGCTCAAGCATCTTCATAATCTAAAGCGCGAAACTTTTGAATCTCCTTTAACGGCCAACTCACCTGTCTTCGTACGGCCATTAGTACTATCTGGTTACTTTAACATACGGTTTGTTTGTCCTTTGCAGCATAGAACATGTCCGTGCATCTTGCTAGTATTACGCTAAAGATGTCACTCCTTCGACAATACGAAGCCAAACAAGTTTTTTTGGACTCCGCACCAAATTGAGTAGGTTAGGTCAGGTAGCTTGCTTTATTACTTAAATATCATGATAAAATTTGCGGCTGCTGCAGACGGCCACTTTCGCCAACGAGCAGAAGTATCATACAATGGTTGATCTGTTCTCTCGTAGCCATTGACTCGACAGAAAGTACTGAGCTCACGTAAATCCTAACGGAACATCTGCGAACTGCAGCGTACTTGGAGACGACACGAAAATTGACCTTTTTATACCTGCGCAGTGAAAGGGATATTCTTCGAATTTCTATTGATTTCCTCAGTTCGTGGAACTTGAGTACTCTGCATATCAGCCCAACTTGTTGGAGTCAATCTGTAGAATATACTGTTCCCAGTAGAAGCGCCACACAGGAATTAAGGTCGAATTTGTATATTTACCGCTGCCGTTTACCTTTGGTACCACCAGCGCTACAAATATATGAGGAGAACTTGACATACATCTATGAAGGCCAGCTGCGTTGCCAAATTCATTTGTGTCCGTCACAAATATTGCGGGAAGTTGAAAAGCTCTCATGTCACGTACACTTCATACAGGTATGAATTAACCTACATATCCGGTTGTCAACTTACTTTCTACATGTTGTATGTACATCGTGTATATTTTTCATGACTAGAACCGGGTTCATTCTTAAAGATTAAATGGAAGAAGCTACCATGATCATTATATCTGATTGATTGTCGGTAGCCGGCTGTAGTAATAATGTGTTAAGGATCCACACCGTAGAATTTAGAGTAACTGATTACAGGCTTTCTACCCGTACATATATGAACTTGGCTTAAACTAGCAGGTAAATAAATATTCGAAAATTACTAGATGCTTGATTTTCATATAATTATTCCATGTCTGACTAAACCGTTGACATTCGCCCTTGTTATTAGCGTGATTACGATAGGCAAAGGGCCTCCTCGATCTGGGGCATTTAGAAATGTCAACGATCGTCGTACTCTGGCCACAGCGGAGTTTTCCATGTCGGTTGCGTTATTAGACACAGATGTTTATGGGGTAACACGATAATTGTACATGACCAGCGAGTATATGTATGGATAAGTACACTCTGATTTGCTTTGACTGCCGGTTATACTAGCAGCTGTAGTCACCGAAGGTTGAGTAAACAAGGGATTGACAACAAATCGACGTAAACGTTTTACCAAACCGCTTCGCGGTACTAACAAAAATATCCACCCATCAGTTCCGCTTCGTGGAACTCCTATAAGCACTGTGTGCGAGGATGTAAACGTAATATTCGCGCGCACCTCGGAGGTGTATATAGGCACACCTGTATCCGTCACAAGGACCCAGGTGTATATAGGCACACCTGTATCCGTCACAAGGACCCAAGCCAAAAAAGACTGTATCTAAAATATATGGTCGTACTCGGTACGTTCAGCCTGATATAATACATTGTTGTATACATTGAAAACACAGGAAGTTCGCGCAACAAGCTACTACTTGTGCGTCGGACCCACTGAACGGTAACTCCTTTTTTCCAATGAGTCTATCATTGCGTACTCATCATTATAAGCTATGTGTCTGCGCTCGTAAAAGTCAGCCAACTGGAATCCAGGCCGAAAGAGCCGTGGCTTTTAAATCGCCTAAGCAAAAACAAGCTAGTTCGATAAAGCCGTATTACTAATAGCTTATGAATTCCGTTTTCATTTAATTATCGACCTGGACCTATAAAAATCATCTGGACCGATATTAATGGGCTATTTTCTTTTAATATTTACTTATTAATTAAACTGCTAATTGACGATCAGTATTTTAAGGAATGATGAAACTGACTGCATGATAATGACGATGTTGGTCACATGTCGATGCACGATACGGTGCTCTTCAAACGATGCGTACGTTTGTACGCATTACGCGTATTTTTCATTCACGTTTACCTCTTAAGTCGGTTAAAGACGGCCTGACCGCGTGGTTAATCTAGATGAGCGTCTTGTCAGCGGTAATCATGCGCAAATAAACATACAGGAATCCCTGGTCCAAATCTCAGCGCTCGTAAACATTGTGACTACAGAGAATAGTGTTACTACGCCGTTTTATAGGTTTTTTTGGAGAGTCCGGCAAAACCCATACCGCTCAAATCTCTAGTCGGGCAAGCCGTTGATGCCACCGCCTAGAAAATAATTTTGAAAACTCATTCATACTGCTGAAATATTTCGGAGCGTTAAAAAAATTAAGAGTAAGTTTATTGTTCTAAACGTCGCAGAGCAGACGATCCTGATATATGCTATAGCTTCAGACGATACCTGAGATACGTTGTACAATATGGAAACTGAATATAGACTAGGCGGGACTACACAGTGTAAGCACTTATTCTCAGGTATTACTACGCAGCTGTCGTCTGTTATATACGGCTACTTAAATTTATGACCAGTGCGTTGTTGGTCGTTAAAAGGGCCAGTTTGGGGTGCGTCAGGCCGGCGTTTCTGTGTTGCCCACAATTTTTCAGCTCGACAGATGCATATGTCCTTCGGATATTTCGCCCAACTAATGGCTAGTGGTAGTGGTAGTATTAGCGTATCCCATAATACCATCGATAAAGATACCTGTGAATTTGAAACTATGGAAAATTAAATCTCTAGACGTCCCTTGCGCTTTATCTCTTTGAGGATCCAATGACCAATTCTTTGTCGAGCCAAACGTCTGGTTCTGTCTTTACATGCTGTAACACTTATATTACGACGTACAGGACCAAAGGACGTTTGATTCGTGATCGGAGAAAGTCCTGCGGAGATTCCACCACCTAAAGACGATCCAGTAGTCAGAGATACCTCTCGTTGTTTCTTGAAGATATACCTACCTTCGGAAGATAGAAAACGGAAATCCTATACGAAGGCGGTGTCCATTGAGAGCAGTCGCATATAAAAAAAAGAAAAGCCAGAGAATGCTCCACCAAGTCAATTTGCTATACATGACTGCTAAGGTAGTACTAATCTTTATAATATTGCTATTGCACGTTACTTATACATCGCATTATATAACCCGTGATATCTGCTCGCTTGGCCAGCGCTCCTGTCAGGTCCGATCCGGTTAACCTTTTCAAAACCCGTACTAGGTATTACATATACAAAACGAAGATGATCGGTGGAAACCTTTCTGATAGGTTAACGCCTGTCTGCCGAGTTTGTTTCCGACACCCCGTAGTAATAACGACCTACGCCGGTGGACGCGGCTGTTGGCGATAATCGTGACCAGGTCGGAACGCAAGTAACACCAGCTATCACAGAAATACTTTCAAATTGACGCTGATTGATATAGCTACTGTATTGCGTAGTATTCAAAGCGGTCGACCTTTTGTTGATGCGGAAAACGTTGAAATTAGTTGAGAACGATATATAAGAAAGAAGAGCACCTTATTGGAACCGAGGTTGCTGTATATATATATATATATATTGTTGTTCCAAATTTGTTTCTTCAAAAGCAGGAACATACTTGTGGGATAGGATCGCGAGATTGGAATTAGTGATTTCTGTTTTCAAAACCATGATACGCCGGTTTGTCCGCACAGTCATAACTGGAATCAATTAATTTGTTCAGGGAAAACTTTTTCGTCTGCTAAAAAGTCGTGATCCGAAATTAGTTGTCAGTTTATAAACTAAAACTATGTCCTTTCGAGAATCACGATCGAGGCCAGTTTTACCTCGAAAGAATAGCTCGTGTTGCTCATCTAATGACTCTCGTTACTAGCGAATGATTCGTAGATTCTTTCTTGTAGATTTGGCAATGGCGTTAAAATATCGTCAAAAGAGTTGAAATAGACATAGTTTCAAGGGACTTCCTGCGCTGACTTCGGTCAGTTGGGTCTCATTCGGACACGACAGGTTTTAATTATCATCTAGTAGAATGGAAAAGATGCCCTAGACCACGGAGTTGAACCAGGCATTGTGAAAGATTTTATTAAGGTTGCGAGGGCTACCAGTGTTAGGCTGTGTTATTGCCGCAGTGTTCGGGCAGAGTCGAAAACGAGGTCAGCCTTCGAAGGACAACGGCCTTGCGAAAGAACAGCCAATGCGATCGTAAGGTAATTAGTAACCGAAAAACAAAGGCACACTAGACCATCGAAAGCGAACAGAACGACCATCAACAGCCTGTGTTACGCGCCTTAGGCAATTAAAAGTGCGAACGGGGGCCAGGCTGCCTATTAGAACAATGCTTTTACGTCAGAGCTGTGACCCTGGATTTCCCCGACCGCTACAAGAAGACTTGCCGCCTATTGCTGTTATATGTATGTGTGTCACTAGCATCTTTAGAGGTACTATTCTTCTATGGCGAAGCGAACTGTTGCCGTCTACGCGAGTACTTATTGACACATCCAGTCCTTTAGAGCGGGATGCTGTTAAAATAGACAAAACGAATTAGAATTTCAACCTATAGGCTGATATAGTAATCGTCTAAAGGGAAAGATCTATTATAGATCAAGGTTACCGTACATAGGCCGTTTGCGGAAAACTTTGATGTTATCTTGTAACTCAATTGAAAAAAATTGCCTTTGGGCATATTCATTAACAAAAGGCGACTAATACTAATATGTTAAAATAAAGCACTATTGTTATAAGCTTATTTAATCACGCATACTTACACCTCTCAACAAAACTGTGCACCAATCGTTCATGCTCTAACTTAGCAAATTATATTTCGAAACGAAAACAGGTCCTATGGACAATTTCATCCTGATACAGCAGATGAATTTTAGTGTCAACTGGACGCCGTCGATCAGGTGAATCTGGGCTTTTCCTTCTTGCACGTACTTCAGCCCACAGTTGCCAAATAGGAGTACACTCTTTTGATGTTAAAATATATTGAAAAAATCTCTACTTTTATCATTCCCCTTTCAACGTATCATAACTCTCAGCTGCTCAGTATAGACTGGGTGGCACATTGCAGCCTATCGGCGATGAGGCGCCCCAGCAGGCTCTCGGCTGTTGAGGGCGATCTTCAATAAATGAGCCACGAATATTCCTCTGTAGACTTGCGTAGGTTTTATGAAGCGCGCATTTTTCAAATCCGTTTAGTCATTTGTTTAAACAAGGCCCTCTCAATTCTATATCCTAATATAGTTTTAGAAGGCCTACAATTGCAAACACTGTCATCGATAGGGTTTAAATCAAGGCAGTAGCCGTATTTTGCTTAAGTCTGTGGAACGATGATACCATCGCTTATTTTCGCCAACTATATAACAACTGAAGTTTATAATGACTAAGGTGACGTACGGTTATAAACCCTTGATAATGTTTGAAGCTAGAAACAGATTCGTATAGTTATCATTGTGGTGTCTTTCTGGCGAAGTGTTCCACATCCAATCAGCACTCATCATACACGTACGCTGTTCTAGAAAAGTTCCGTAAGTTATTTGATGCGCAATTCGATTGGGCGGAACTGAACTTGAGTGTCTGCCGCAACTTTGAATGCTGAGGTTATCAGTATAGATTTCACGTTGGCTATCACACGTAATATTCGATCAAACCCTATTAGGGCTTCTTATAGATGACTTTTAATAATTTTAAACACAGCTCATTGCGTAACTGATTCAGCGCACTCAAAATACAACTTGGAGCGCTTTATAACTTCCAGCGTATCCAGAAGTATCTATAACGCTAGGAAAACATGAACAATAACTTTGTTTCATACTAAACCTCAATATGTACGTGTTGCCAAAAATGTTTAATATTTTAAAAAAATATTAGTGAATATTTTTTTAAATTTAGTACTGGCTAAGCATTCTATCCTATACATGCTCAGTATGTATGTATGTATGTATAGAGGTGGCAAAGTAGAAAATTGCTAAGAACGACCTTCTTTCTTCTAACTAGGATTTTTTTGTTATCCAACAGTTACGTCGGTGCATTGATCGATGGTGCGCGGGCTGATATTCGCTCGGTCTCGAGCAAACTAGGTTTTTTTTTTACTTGCCTTACGTTGACACCCAACTGACTTTTACAATTTTGAGAATTTTAATCAAAATGTCTACCTATTGGCGTGCTATTGATTATTTGAATATTCTTTCGTACAATAGGAAGACGATTTTTCGACATGGAACGACATTCGGTTTCAACAAGTTATGCACTATAAGTTCACTGACCGTTCAGCCCGCTCCATCTACCAATTGCAAGTTAGCGTAATAAAAAGCTGTTTCTATTCGACCCGGTAAACACCCGGAAAGGTCACCCACTACGATGTATGTTGATAATTGATATTTTAGTAATTTCAAAAAGTATAATGATATGAGATGTTCTCACAAGCATCGACGCGGTATTAAAAACGATGCAGTTACGGTTAAACGCGCATGTCTGCAAGTTACTAATTGCCTCTATAAAATACGGCCCAGGAACACTATAACGCTGCCTTTTTAGATGCTGAGTATTGAAGTGCCCGTCTTGTAAGTTCATTCCGGAAGTATGCATATCCTGTTCCACTAGGAATAGGCGCTTACATACTGCTAATTAACTGGAAACTTCAAAGTAAAAGCAATGAATCACCAGAGTCCTTGTTTAGCTTATTTTCCCAGACAAGCGAATACATATTTTCGCGCTATTTATGATGTTTTTCGATAGATTTTCTTGTCATTATATATGTATAATTTGATCATTAGCGATTATTCACGAACACCTTCGTGTATAGATCTTGATTATACAGTAAGATCAAGCGTGTACGTTGTTTGTAGCAAATCCTTAGTAAAGAATCTTTAGAGACGCGCAAAAGCGGTACGGGTATGTATATAAGCGGATTTTTCGATCATGACGTAAATAAAAATGCTCATTACACGGCTATTGGATTCAAGTGGATCCTATAGCTTAAACATTGGATCCTATATGTATACTATTTTGCGTTATTCTTTTTTTTTTCTATGTAAAGATACGAATCGTTTGGGCCATGCTGGGCTAGTTACTTTCGCCGACGGAGTAACGCTGGCTACTCCCATCTAGTACAGCCACACAGCCTATGCTTTTCAGAAGACGTCATCCGAAGTCTCTAAAATGTTCATCATCACATACTGCTATGAAAGTAATTAATTTTCTACAAATCGGGCAAAAATGAAGTGTTGATCTATAGTAAGTTAGCTAAGACACCTGCTAGTCAAGCTGACCTGCATTGAAAATTGAAACAAACACTAGATGTTGGAAAAGTTCCCCAAAGCTATTATCCTTGATTAACTTAAATACAATTCTAGCACAACTAAGGGACTTTGTTTTTATGGCTTAAACGCTATAAATATTACCCTAAAACCTTCCGCGATCGATTGGAACTAAACATCAAAAAAAATCTAACGGCTATTATGGGCTGATTCATGGGCTGTGTGTACGCCTTGAAATTTACGATTCCATCAATAAACACATAAGAAAAAGACGAAGAATTAACACATTTTGGACAATTAGCTAAAGCTATTTGATGGGTACAAGATTCTGTTTTTTTTTTTTTTGATAATACTATTTTGAGCTGTAGTATCGCTGACCCGACCAAATGGTACCAGCAATCATTATCTAGGTGTTTCGTTTGAATGGCGTTCAACTTTTACGACGCACCCCGTGTCATCCGAGCAGAGGGCTGTTACGCGATCTCGGGTAATTCGGAGTTGAAAACAGCTGTCTCATATCTCCACTCGGTTCATCATTACGTACACACACATATAGAGGTATTTCAATTGACCGCATGGCGTTTAGCTACTAGACGAAACGGAAGCGTTACTGGTGAACGACGTTCGAGACCCTATTGAACAAAATCTCCGTCACTTATGGAACGGTCTAATATCAGCACATGCAGCAGAGTTTTGAAGCTAGAGAGCCACTTGGAGCTGATGGACGACGCACCTCTACTGTCAAGCTTTGCTAATCTTCACTCATACGTTGACGCTAGAAGTTTTAAAGTGTATGCTTCTCTTTCGGCTGAAATGCCTAGCGGCCAATACCCCACTAGAAACAGTTTTCCGATACGTCAATAAAGACTCGTCTGAGTATATTTGTAACGGACGATTAGTGTTAAAAATCAGTATTTCGTCATCGGGTCGTTGCTTGCGCCATAAGGTTCGTCTGATCGCGTTATTTCTAGGTATATCAGAGACCTGGTGACAACTAGCCGTAAGCGTTCAGAATAAACTAGTATAGAGAATGATACTTTGAATTTCCTACTAAGCGTTTTGCCTGTTTTGCAAGACGGAACGCGTCTTCACACGCACATTTTCCTTTCTATTTTTACAGTTGTGCGGCTTCTTTATTTATTATTTCGTTATTTCACTATCGATCAAATCTATCCGGTGGTGCTAGTGATTATTTAACGTCAAAATGCATAAATACTATAGAGTTTTTGCATGTTACTGCTCTTTTCCATTATGATTTGTCCGATAGGAGCCGGGAGTTTAGTCTACCACATCTCTCTCTAACAAAAGTTACTGGATCATGTTATCTGAAACAAGAAACTAGATGATGAAGAACAAGTACTTTTTTCTTTGTCTCTTTTCCCAGATTCGTTAAATTCAGGCCCGCATATATAGTAAGCTGAGCTTCTGCTATGCAGCCGAATCCCGTTGGCTAAACACGAACATTCGATGCGCAGTTGTATGTACATACAAGCTGGGAGAAATATCGTTACCGTTTGCGGAAATTGTCTACTCTTCCTTATGAATGAAATACCGTTTTTGAGTTAAATGAGTACGGCTCCTGTCGGAAGACATGTAAAAAAGCAAAATCTACCAAATGCCGACACCATAAATTAATTAGATCGTTCAAACTGGGCCAGACATTTGCATTCTAGACCACTATCTACCTACGAATCGAACGCTAACGTTTCTCTCAGCGCAGCGAAAGGGGTCCATTAGATTCTACAAGAACTGAACAATCCGTCAACGATATTTACTAAGAATAATGTTAACAAGTAGTAAATAATGTTCTTAGAGCGAAAAAAGGGACTGATTTTAGTTGAATTAAGTAATTTTTCTGCGGGCACATTCTAATTAGTAGCTAAAGATCAAAGGTGGCTCGTTTTTTTCTGAAATTGCTTAATTTACTGACGCCTGGCCATCAACAAAGCCTCATTAGCTATATCCCACCTAGTAAGTAGCATGGCCTCTACAGCCGCTGAGCAGCCAATGCATCCTTCTACCGCGTTTTTTGTATAAGCCTGGTAAAGCTCGTTTGATTTTCAAAGTAGAAAAGGAAAGACTACGCGTTTCTTAGCAAACATATCTAGATAGGTACTCCTCTATAAATGAAAGAGCCTTCAATAACAGCTATGTTCAACCATTTATGATGTATTCTGAAAAGGTCAGGAAGACGAACCTATTACTTATCGTTTAAAGATGTTAAGCTATCTGAAATGATGCTTATAACGGCAGAAGAGAAACTCTATATTCGCAAATCTTTTCGTTGAATATCGGCACTATTATACTGTTGGTATTTGTGTTTTTTTTTTTTCCTTATTTTCTACACTAGATAACTGTTTCTATAGGACCGTTATTGATTACATGTCTTCAGCGAAATGAGCGTGTCTTCCGGAGGCATACATTATTGTTGCGTATCAGAAATGGCCAGGGGCGAAACTGAGCACCTGTGTGGTGGATGACAATATATAACTACCGATAGAAACCGCGCTGGGGCACCTCGTAACAGCCTACTAATAAAGATAGTGCACGTTATGAAGGCTATGTCTGGTGGTCAGGCAACTTGTAGTGCAGTATCCAACATTCACCCCAAATCAGAACAAAATGGTGCTTTCAAGAATCTTATGTCTCTATACGCAGCTGTGGTCGTGTTAGCGGCAATCTTGACGCGACACTAAAGATAACGCTTATCTCGTTTCTGGCCCCTGTTTCGAGTACGGCTCTGCCGACTATGGCCTGTTCGTCGGATGCAATTATTAGGCCCTGCGTCGTTACTATGCTGGTCTAATCCAACGGAATTACCAAACGTGAATTTGTAAGCGTGTCAAAAACGACTCGAGACCACATCACCTTCAGTAATTCTTGATTGGTTCATGTACGTTCCAGTTCTCGACAACAAGGATTCGCCAACAACGAAAAAAAGTATCTTCTCATTATGGCTAATTGCACGACACAAGTTTATAACGATCAATGTTAGTAACTTTTTAGCAATGTTGGCATTATCATCTTTGACAAGTTATCTGATTAGTAAGTGCCCATATACGTATGTGTGGTTTGGTATGTTCCTGAAAAGCGCATCCGTCGTCAGTAGATACCGGCACAAGTGTCGAATATTTCATGTTAACAAGGTCTGTTTCACTGTTTTTCTGGTCATTTCCGACAGAGGGTGCAGTGCGTGTATCAGAGCAGCGCTTTGATCACTCCTACCTACCCAGTCTACGGTATTGACCAGGTTGCTTTGACGGCTGATTATGATCCGTTGTAGGACAACATTTCTTTTCCTATTATGTACTTTAGTTTATTTTGTTTATATTGTTTCCATCTAATGTTGACAGCGACATTTACATCTCTAGTTTATTGTGTACAACCAAACATAAAAACTGTTTCAGATTGATTAGGACACGGTATTAATCACGTCAAACAGACTCAACGTACTGCTTTACAGAATTTATCGAGCAGGACACGGGCGCGTGTTTAGTTTACGCGGAAGGAAGTGGCAATAAAAAACTCCTTAGGGCACTGTTTCGAGAGGGCCCAGTGACAATGCGTGTGGTTACAAACGTGAGAAACTCAGACATGGTCTGGGTTCGAGTCTTGATGTAGACACACTTCGCTGAGGCAAAACAAAAGGCAATGAATATATGCAGTAGTCTTGAGTTCTGCTCGAGTTCTCCAATTGTATCGAGTTCCCTTTAATGATAGCTTTTCGGAAAAATGCCACACAGCGGTACATTTAACATAGAAGGGTTATAAAAAAGTTTTAGATGGGACCGTGTAACTCATTGCTCAGCTCCTTCCTAAAAAAGAAGAGTCCCTCGATCAAATAGATCAATTGCAAATATTTTAAGTTCTGCTTGTTAGTGCTGCCTCTAGCATAAATCCGTAATAATATATCTATAAATAAATGGAAAAAAAATACAGACTCGGGCATATTAAGTGAAGGTCATGTTAGCGGCTAGAAAAGCTCCAACGTGTAAAGTTATCAATAATTAATAAAAAAGTGACCCAGTACAGACATCGACGACGAAGCTGCCTCACGGATATATGTAGAACACCCTATTTAACTTTGAAACAATAGCCACAGCAACTCTCCACAGATATTGATGAGGAACTTTATTATTATTATTGACTTCTGTTAACATTGGATAATTGTGGTCTAAAATCGTTTTGCTTTTGAAATGGGTTTCGGGTCAAGCAAATGCTTATGTCAGTTCCAAGCTATAGCCGATAAAAAAGGACACGCGCCAACTATAGGGTATGCACGAGTATTACTTAAAACAGAAAAGCCTGCTATATATAGTAATTAGTCTAAGTAACACCCGCCCTCCATTTTTCTATTGCTAACACATCGATATATTTGTATTGATTGATTGATTGAAACATGATTACAAAAGCGCTAAAATCTTAGTGAAAGGATTGTATAGTTGGGTCTAAACGTATCATAATTCCCACATATGAACATTGGGTCTAGCTGATAACCGTAAACATCTAAGCAAATCTACTTATTGCACAGCTTTATCTATATATACCGATAAAAAATTACTGATAGCTATTCAGTTGAGCTATGATTGCTTGAGGAATTAGCATTAAATTGAAAGAATTAAACTCGAGCGCGCTTATACAATGTCTGCGGACTATAAAAACAATTTCGTAATTTCCCGTTAGGCATCTCCTAAGGTTTTTGTTTATAGCTTATGCTTAGTATATGACTAAAGTTATAACATTATGAAATTGTACTCATAATAGAGCATTGCTATCACTCGCTCGGTAACCTTAAGTCAAGACATTCCATTTTAGATTTTCCATGAAATAGCACTCAGCTGATTTTCAGGGAGGCCCGAACCATTTAGCGGACGGAAAATCAGTATTAAAAATGATCGATGTCGTTATGAAGTACGTACGGGCTAAGTAACCAATAGCTACTTACTATCTGCTACTACCTATTGATTTTTATCTCGTAATTGGTATTAGTAGTTGGTTTGGTTCTAAATCTTTACAATTACATCTAGCAGAGCAGTAGATACTCGGCGAGATGTGATATTGAAAAACTTCTACGGCATCCATCTAAGTTCCATTAATTAGTAGGTCGGAAACGCGGGTACGATTCAAAGCCAGTTTTGCATAAGCTACATGTCTCAATCTAGACATCCGAATAAGACTTTTGTGCGAAAATCTTTCTTACAGGGGGAAAATCTCTACGGAGAAGGATACCCGTACAAACCGTAAATCTGTTGACGTGCGGTTTTCTTCAAACAGGAAAAGCGCGAACGAACGTGAAAGCGAAAGCTCATTTAAAGCGTACGTACATCTGATGAACCTTCGCATAACATATAACACGCCCGACCTGAGACATCAGCTCGTCAAGGGTCTGACAAGAAAAAAAAGGAAGAATCATTCATAGGGAAGGAAAATGCTACCAGTAGGTCCATAATGTCGGAAGCACACATGTAAAGGACGCGTGACTAGGAGGCCGAAGCCGACGAACTTCATGGTTCCTATAGCAATCCTATGAGTCTCAAAAGGAGGAACCTCTAAAGCACTCCTGGCCGTGCATCGGCCGAAGATGCTATTTTCCAATTGTCCGTTTCACATCTGAGACAGCATGGCTCCGATACTATAATAGAACCGCCATTCTACGAAAATATTTTCCGAAGCTAAAGTTGTTGTATATGTATTTTTTGTCACTAAAACTGGATGGTTCAACGTCTTAGTTCTTCTAGTAAAGCAAATTTTAGGTTTTGCTGGCATAGATTGCAAGCGATATTGTTGTTTTTATCGTTTAATGAGGTAGAGGTGTCACTACAGGCTTTAGGAAAGCTGAGAGTCGACAGCATGTGCCAGTCGTACGTTGTTATCGTACGTAAAAAAAGGTTGTAAATTGAACAAATGACAACGATTTCCTTAAAACGATTTCAAAAAGCTAGTAGGCAGAAGTTCTCTGTTGAAAACCCCAAATTGAAAAAAAAAAATAGCTCGTGTTCCTATGCGTATAGACTGACCGGAAGTCTATATTCTTAATTCTCAACTATGTTTACAGTCTACTCAGTTATACATAGTCTGCATAGTTCATTTTCAGCCAACAATGGCTCTCCGTGCAGCAGTCGTACTCTTTATTTTGGCATATACTATTGTATATACAACACAACCTGTATATTGATTGGGAGGAAAAAGAAGAAATTGATTTGCTTTTGATAGCTTCTCTAAAAAGTGTCTAGAGGGAAAAGAAACATCGGTTTGAATACAAAGGTCTTATTATTTATTGATAGAAACAATCATATGAGTGTGCAGTATGTTCCACAATACAGTTTGTATAGTACTTAATATATGTCATAAATCTTTAGCCATTTCAAGCCATTGCTACTGCTTTCATATTGTCTCGCACTTGCATTCCGTAATGAGATTTTCGCTACAGGCACCTTTTACTATGTGTAGATGTTGGATCAAATCCAATTGGGTTAATAGTATGAGCCAAGTATGTTAGTTAGCAACAACCCTTCTATTTCTAAGAACTGATGAAATCTGTCATTTACTCTCATTTCTATATTTTGTGACGCTGATCATGTATCTTGTTAAGGTCAGCAGAAAATCAAAGGAAACGTTTTCATTGTGTGCATTCCATGTCCGCGTTTCTAAATCCACCTACTTCTAGATCAGCATTTGCCTAACTGGATTTCTAATTTAGCTTGTTTTGCGCAGATTTCAATAAAGGCAATATTGGAACGAGACAAAAAGGAAAAGCGAGACAAAAAATGGATCTTCTTTTAATAGGTCCTCCGCGTCCGATGACGAATCAGCCTTAATCATAAATAAATATCAAAAAAATCTCAAATTTTCTTAATATGTATTCCATTTGTAGCGTTAGCTGCGTTAGTGAAGTTTAGCGTTTTGTCCATCCTATGCACATAGCCGTACATAGACCAAAAAAGGTCATTTCAAAGCTACAAATCAAGTGCAAGAAGCTTGCCGCATCTGTCTAAGTAGCCATTTGGAAAGTTCGGCTGGAAGTCCAACATTATGTATTTCAAAAGTGTCTTACCGACCCAACGCTATTTTAGGCTGACTAACGGATACGATATTGAACCAGGCAGTCGCTGCCAAATCTCGTTCTATTGATATACACTCCTGATATCTACTCCGAATAACAGCACTCGCTTTTTAGGGTAAAATATAGTTTTTATTTGCATTCTGTATTCATACATACAAACATACATACGAAGTCTGATTAATTGTAGCATTTTTACATATAACTTGTAAACACACGCAACATTTTTCCTCCCCGTAATTGTCGCAAAGAAAATAAATAAGTCACAAGAGGTTTTTGATAATTCTTATTTGATACTTGTTACCTATTTTGTAAACTTACAAGGGAATGAATAGGCGGATCTAGATTAAAGATGCCGCACCCTGGCGCGGACTGGGTCTAGGCAAGCGTTTTAGACTTCAAGATCCAAACTTATAGTACACATTCCTGTTCCAAAATATTTTATTATAATTTTTTTTTTATATTAAATCGATAAAGAATACGCCACTTAGGAGTGACACATGAATAATTATTTCGTTGTTGTCAATATTTTTCTATTCGTCTCTATGCCCCTAGTGTTAGTGACTTCATACTATACATATTAGAGGGCAAGCTTCTAAGGTACTGTCGCTAAGTGTCATGGCTGTTGCCTATGTCAGGGTGTCCACATTGAGGCTGGTGACACATTCACCAGGCGTAGAGTTAGAGAAATATCAGTGTCTTCTTGCGGCTTTGTAGCTCCAGGTCTGCCTGAGTGTTCTTTCAACAACTGGGAAGCTCTTTCCATCTTGAGTAATTAATTGTTCGTTGAGCATCATGCTAAAGAAAGCTTTCTTGTAAGATTCCTTGGTCTTGCCTAGTGCACCTTTATTTGTTAATGTTGGCCTAGATTTTTGTCGTCCTGATGGTGCAGTAGTAACAAGTTTACCAACCAAACATAAATGCCGGTCTATGTTGGAAACCAGCTATGAAGATGAGCTTCGTTTCATGCTGGGAGTCGGCGATCTAGGACCGCAAATGTCAAAATATTTATTTGGATCAGATTTTACAGTGTGCAACCTCTGTCGTACTAAATATTTGTCCAACTAATTCAGACGTTTCACAAAAGGATCACGTCGTCTTTCCAGTAGGTTTGATCTTCTGTATTGAAACACTGACTAGGGCCATTTTAACCAGACTGGTCGCGGATCTAGTTGTCCTTGGAGGCACCTGCAAAGAATAGCTAACAAAGTGAGATATGCCACCCGTTTCTACTGGTATGTAAAAGTCACGCATTAGATTTAGCATATAGATCACTAAGCAATCCTTCTCCCACTTTCCATCGAGCTATATCAGATAAAATGGCCATGCTTACCTATTTAATTGAACATGATTACCAGTTCTCGCAATATACTTACATAACTTAAGTTTCCGCTTCGGCTTTCTCGAATATAACTGTCATCCTCAATAGAGGCGTTGTGTTTTTTGAACGTATATAGTTGGTGAGATGAATCCTTGAACTGCTGTCCTCGTCCGTGGACATCCTCAATGATCTTTTGTTCCACAAACTTTTGCAATAAAAGGGCAACTTTCTGCCTAGTGATCTCTGTCCTGTCCGTAGGTTTTTTGCACTTCTTCTCGTCGTCCACTGCCCCGAAGAGAATATCCCAGTTTTCTTTAAGGTAGTGCAACGTCCAAGATACGGCCTCATTTCCTGAGAAGCAGTTTTCAATGTGCTTTAGTCCTTTTCGGTGGCGCCCAACTGGCAGCTCCTCTTGTACAGCCGTCACAATTGTGTTCCAAGTTCGCGTAGCGCGGAACTGTTCCTTCTCATAGCCGCCTTCACACTCCATTGCGTAAAATATATATAGTTTTTGTTCGAAGTCAGGAATAATGCAATAATTGTCGATTGATCCAATAAAGCTGATAATAGCGGTGTCTTAACGCAAACACATCAGGCTTAATAACACTCTTACCGCTGTCATGCGGCGACTGCGCTTCGCGAGTATCGAATGGTGTTTTTGTGTGTTCACGCTGGGCTCAGCGTCATGTCCTCCTTTCTGATCCCCGAGAGGAGAAACCGTCTCCGTCGTTGAACAGAGGCGAACAGTAAAGCCGACACGGGTAACATAACACAGCATAGCATTAGCCGATAAAGCTACTAATGACCGAATGTGATAAACAGCAGGCCGTCAGTTTAATGCCCAGACGATTATGTACAGAGTATAGATATCTACTGTGTGACCGAGAGCACGTCATCACTGATATGAACTTTACTCAAAAATTACAGAGTGATCACTCGCTGATCGTCCCCTAACTGACTGAAGACATTTCTTGAAGAATCGTGTTACAGTCAAGAAAACGCGTTATGGCTGTCGTGACTGTGTATTTTCTAATCGTACCACGGTAATAACATAATAGTGACAAATAATAAGCTCTAATCTACTCACAACCGCGATTATAGCGGAGCTAAAGAAGTATCACATCCGGTACAGAACCGGACAAGTAGGCATTTGCACTACGCTATCAACGGCCGGCTGGACTTAACACAACGATACTAGCAGGTTAATAAAGTGTACACATTCTACGCTCAATCCTCTGGAGCCATATTGGTCAAAGCATCGATTTCCTTTTCAGTGGTCCAATGCGCTTCTGTAAATAGCTTTTGTAACCTACTTCTCCGAACGATTTGAAGAGGAAAGACATAAAATAGACCACGGTCCAGTGAGCCTCACAGAAATATTAGGCCAAGTGTATGTTCTGGCTTGTGACCGACAATTGTCATTAAGGCAGGACTTTGCCATTGGCAAAATAAATGCAGCTTCAGGGGCAAATAATTAGCATAGGTGGACAATCTGATAACAGTAGCATTTCTGGAAAACATTGTCTTATCTATTATTGATGAAAAAAAAGTCACTTTGACTGGTGCCAAGCAATACTGGATGTTTGACAATGTTACTCGACAAGCAAATAACTTTAGTAACAAACTAATCAATTACTGATGCAGAATAATAAGGCTAATAAGTCAATTAGAAGCTACGCTAAAAACAATATAAACTGACATTAGATAATAGACAGACTGCTGCTAACCAGGCATATTGTTTGTTACTGGCTGCCTTACACCTATACTGTAAGTAACTAATAGAACCCCATAAATTGAATCGCAGGATCCCAAAAACGTATCTTTTTCTTTATATCAGGAGAGCTTATTTTTAAGACTAAACAGTTTTTTTTTTTTAGGTTTGCTGAAATCATAAATAATCCCGCTGCCGCCGCGCCGTTCTCTTAGGTTTTTGAGTTGTTAAACGAATAATAATAGTAAAGCACGATATAACTCTAAATACGTCCGACATATTTCCATGTTATGAACTTTGTTTTCCGCTAGATTGCCAAATAGCTTTCCCAGTGCGTAAGTTGTTGTTCCGAGAAATTAAAGAGAGACAAATCCAATTGAACTGTTTCAAGTTACAAAATATTCTGAGGTCAGTAGTCCTACACAGTTTACCAGGACCATAGGCATTTTTGGAGCTATATATACCATTCACTTTGCTTAGATCCAGCCGTTTGCGTACAGGTTGGGTAAAGTCTAATAACAATGCCCGGGTCTGCATCTGGGGATGAAAGGCACTGAATTACGTTAATTAGACACTGCCACTTAATCTCTTTAATACGATTAATAAGAAAATAATGCCAATGTTCTTTCCTCAATGCTATCACAAATCTGAAGTTGTCTATATAGAAATATGAAGTATTTCATTCGTAGATCCCTCACTAACTATGTCCAGGTCGAAGACACATTGGCACCGCGCCACGATTTTAGCTACTGTTGCATTACCATGAAGCGCAGCCTTCACATCTATTCAGAGCTGGTAGTGTTTTTTGCCGTCTAGTGCAAATTTATATAGTCCGATATCATTCACATCTTCGCACATCAACAGATTTATGGCTTAGACACGAAAATTAAAAATAAAATAATAGAAAATTAGAAAAGCCGGGGCAAGTTCTAGATTCTAGATTGAATAGAAATAATTCCTGCAACCTGTTCTGCGTAGGTATAGTCGACAGCGCTAAAAAAAACCCACTTGTAAAAGCAAAAAATCAATTTTTTTCGGACGGTGTCATTTAATTCTCAATAATCTACTTTTGCACACATGTAAGTATAATTATCTAACAACCGATAACTACTGACTGAGAGCTTTAGAGATAAATGTTCTAGCTGCATCTCGCCTCAGGTTGTTGGTATACGCATCAATACCCGTTTACCAGAACTTATCACACACTATCTGCCAAAATTTGCCCTAAAGCTGAAAGAAATTTCGCGCGGTGTCATACAAAAGCTTGATGCACGCATCAGAATTGAACAGTTGTTTATTAATCATAGCGTAGATGTCATTAGAGAGGAAGGAGTGTGCCAAATGATGGCGTCTGGATCCCGTTATTGCAGGCAAATTGAAGAAGCTAGCAGATTTAGACGTACCATGGCTTGTTAAACAAGTACGATTACTGTCATTGTTGAATTAATTACCATGATACGTTCAAACTTAACTTGGTACAGTGGAAAACCTCTTTTTTGCGATTTTGAATAACCAGGGTGGACCCAGCCAGTACGGAAATCGTTGTAACGCACATGAAGCCTATCACTAAAAAAACTTTTCGCTATAATTCTGAGGTGTCAACTGCCGTAGTTACTCACAGTAACCAATCGCATGACACCGGATCCACTGAGTTCTGTTTCTAATGGAGGCCTTTGTCTTTGCCTGAATCCTAGTAGTAACACTGGAGATGATAGGGTAGGTTACTGAATTTTCACACACAAAGACACACGTTTATAGTCACGGTATAGCGAGTGCTTGTAATGAGAAAGACCTCTAGAGAAGTCCTTACTACTTTTCGACGGAGTTCCGTAGGGTCTTTCTATTAAACCGTGACAATCCTATCCATCAGTAAGATATGCTGTGTTGTTCGATTCCTCAGTGATAAAACCGTTGCCCATAGATATCAACGAGTCTCTTCTGCTACATACAAAATAGCATCTAAACTTTTCGTTACAATCCGCAGCACGCATCGATAGCTGCCATGGCTGACGTACATAACCTACATACAACGGCCGAACGCTATAGGCGTATTTCAAACAAATTAAATTAGAAAAATCCATAAATAGTTCGATAAACTCTTCAAAAACGAACATCTGACCGACAAGTATTAGGCAGGATCACCGAAAAACAGTAGTATATTACAGTTGTGCATGGCTGAGCTTGACTATCAATGTACTGACACTGTTAGATTAAATAGGTGCCTCTATTCCGTGCCGTAGGTTCTAAGTAAGTTTAATGTCTAAGGTATATGACGAAGTCTATTGTCTCATGTTGTCCTTGTGGGTAATATCGTCGCCAAACTAAGACTTGTTATGAAGCTTGACATGATAAACATACAGCCCTTCGAAAAAGGAAAATAACAGAAACGACACACTCGTTAAGGATCACATGGACTTCCGCATCTCAACACACGTTACTAGGTCAAAAACACAGTTCATCATTATGAGAGTTTGTTTCGGTGTGTAAAATCTTCAGGCGTTTCGTTCAATGCACTTTTGAATACAATAAATAAATAGATTGCCATTATTAGACTGCATAGTTTGCATATCCCCAGAAAACATCTGATCCTATGCAAAAGAATGCAGATTCACGAACGGTAGCTATTCTGTTATGGAAGTAAACAGAAGCCAATATGTACCTGTTATCGCTAATAGTACTATCGTCACTACGTACATTACCACTAATAATGCGCCCCAGATATAGAGGTCAATTTTCAATCCATGCACCACTATTTGACATCGTCTAAAGGCCGACTCAATGCACGACGCCCAGTAGACGTCAGGTTGGGCTGGCCAATAGACGTACATTAGCCCAGAGGCTATCAGCGCTAAGCGATCTGGTCTGCTGCCATTAGGTTGTCGACAAAGTACTGACCGAAAAGGTTTTTTGACTCAAAATCGAAGCAAACGTATTGAATATTTGAAAATGTGATCGATTACCTTCTACCATTTTTCTGGCAAGAAAACCACATCTTTTCTGTTCCTGTCGATTTTTTTTCCATGGGTTGATATAATTTTCTTAGCCGTTGACAACAGATGTCTGGGTAAGTGGTTTTCCTAAGCAGCAGTAGCCGCCAGTCATAATGCAGGAGGCTTCAGCTGCCTTCGCGTCAGTCTAAGCCCTGGCAGACTGACGCCAAGAAAGCTAATGCTATCTGGAAGGAAGTTAATTAAGAACTGTACGGTACAACTTTTTAAGTTCGCTCATTACACTTTTTACAACCGCTCTAGAAATGGTCCGAGTTCATTGTACCTCTATAACGAGTTTTGCAGACGGAAATACGATTAGAAGAGTCTTTTGCGTCTATTCACGTACCACTCAAACTTTTTCCCCAATTGGTCGACCACTACGAAGAGTACCCTTCACACCGAAATTTCCGGAACGCTCGTTCTTTGCGATGTTTCTTGCCTGTAAATAACACAAAATTAGTTCTATGTCTGGACAGTATTTATAAAAAAAATATCAGCTTTCAAATGGTACTTAACGCTCTTCACACGGAACTCAGACCTGTACTAAGTTTTATAACTTTAAAGCCATCTGGCTGGAAGAACGGTCAATACTTTTTCGACGGCTCAGTGTTTCCTATCCGTAGAACCGCGATGATATAAGTGAAGTTTGAAGCCCGTAATGAAATTACGGGCTTCGTGTTAAAAGGCTTAATTATATCATGTGGACTTTGAGTATAGATGCTTGACTTCGGCTATTTTTATACCATAGGACTCATATAAAAACTCGCAAGAGACTCGTTTAGAATTCGAATCCTCAGAAAAAGCTAATTAATAGCCTACTTTTAAACTTTTACGTTATTAATTTCTACGAAATAGTAATGGGCGTCCATAGAGAAATCGTATAATCTGTTTTGTTGTAGTTGACAACAATATAGTAACTGA